TACTCGCCCACGTACTCCAGTTGTGTTGAGGGTGACGCTGACGCTGAGGGTGACACTCTTACGCACTCCTAACGCTTAGGGTGATACTTGCGCACTCCTGACGCTTAGGGTGATACTTGCGCACTCCTGACGCTGAGGGGTGACTCTGATGTACTACTGACGCTGAGTGACGCTCTGACGCACTCCTGACACTGACTGCGACACTCTCACTCCTCCAAGGGTGGCTCAGTTACTCAATCTGACGCTGAGGGTGGCACTGTTATCCTTTTTTTGGCGCTGAAGGTGGCACTCTTACCCTCTTCTTACGCTGAGTGACGCTAAGAGTGAAACTTTTACCCTCCTTACGTTGAGGTCTGTCTCTAATGACCTGTGGAAGATTCTGACAGTGAAACTTACGTTAGATTGTAACTTGAGGAAACATTCTGATGGTGGAACTTGAGGGAGAGATAAACGCTAGTTGAACTAGGGTTTAGAGACATTCCCGTGTTTGTTGGGTTGCTACCATCACACGAGGAAAGCTCACACACTTTGTTTTTTCTTGCTTGTTGTAGTATTAATACATACTAATTCAACAAAATTAAGGCAAGGAACAATAGACCACAATAACTGAGAACAACGAAATGTAATATCACTGTCGATTAATTAGAAGCAATTGATAAAATTGCAAAAGGTGGCCAGAGTGGATATTTTTGAGACACCGGAACCCAGACTGAGTAGTTATGTAGCATCAGTGAACGATATATGTACTCACCTATTTGTGTTTGTGGGGATCGAATCCTTGCTCCTGGCACTGCCTCTGAAGCTTCTTCGATTGGGAGTTACTGGCTTGTGTGTGTGTTTGAAGGTTAGCAATATCAGTAAACTCATACGTGTATTGAGGTCTACTTGTGTTGCGACTGGGCCACTACGACTGGAAAACCGACTGGCGAGTTTTCCCTCTCCACTCAGGCTGAGTCTGACAGACTGGCTGCACTAACTGCCCTCCAGCCAGTCTACACTTGAAAGCCACACAATGAGCCCCAGCTGCCTCCTATTTGTTTTAATGGTGAGTGTTTTGCTTCACTTTATTTTATGGGCAGTTATTTTTTTTTATTAACCGTCATGTGTTATTGGTTTTCCCGTGTGAATGAACTCTTGTATAGTTAGTAATTAAGTTTATTCAGGCTCCTCACACAAATTTTGATTTTCACAATTGTCTTATATAGAAACATATGTGTAAATTACCTAAGATAACACAAAACAGTGAGTGAGTTATGTCAGTGGTGCCCTGTCTGTAATTATTTAGTTTATCAAATTTTTGTTGAAAGTTCCAGAGATCTGTATCATACATTACCTACAGCGGGAACTTTTTTTCTGGTCTTCCTCTAAATTTCTGCTGTAATTTCCTTCTTCATTTCTACTGTTACTATTCTGGAATGAAGAAAAGAGAATACTGGGATTATTATAACCCTCTTCCCTGGAGAGTTAATAACGCAGGATAACCCAAGAGAGCCAGCCTGGCTTATTTCCTCTCAGGCGCTTTTTTAGCTCCTTTCCTAGATTGTAACCCGTGAGTCTAATAATTCCAAAAGTATCTAGTTACTGCTAGCTAACACTGCCATCTCTCGGGTTTGTCAGTGTTTGTATGTTACCTGATTAATTTTTCGGTACCCCATAGCCATTCTGTGAGAGGTAGTCACCCCATAGCCATTCTGTGAGAGGTAGTCACCCCATAGCCATTCTGTGAGAGGTAGTCACCCCATAGCCATTCTGTGAGAGGTAGTCACCCCATAGCCATCCCGTGAGAGGTAGTCACCCCATAGCCATTCCGTGAGAGGTAGTCACCCCATAGCCATTCCGTGAGAGGTAGTCACCCCATAGCCATCCCGTGAGAGGTAGTCACCCCATAGCCATCCCGTGAGAGGTAGTCACCCCATAGCCATTCCGTGAGAAGTAGTCACCCCATAGCCATCCCGTGAGAGGTAGTCACCCCATAGCCATTCCGTGAGAGGTAGTCACCCATAGCCAATCCCGTGAGAGGTAGTCACCCCATAGCCATTCCGTGAGAGGTAGTCACCCCATAGCCATTCCGTGAGAGGTAGTCACCCCATAGCCATTCCGTGAGAGGTAGTCACCCCATAGCCATCCCGTGAGAGGTAGTCACCCCATAGCCATTCCGTGAGAGGTAGTCACCCCATAGCCATTCCGTGAGAGGTAGTCACCCCATAGCCATCCCGTGAGAGGTAGTCACCCCATAGCCATCCCGTGAGAGGTAGTCACCCATAGCCATTCCGTGAGAAGTAGTCACCCCATAGCCATCCCGTGAGAGGTAGTCACCCCATAGCCATTCCGTGAGAGGTAGTCACCCCATAGCCATCCCGTGAGAGGTAGTCACCCCATAGCCATCCCGTGAGAGGTAGTCACCCCATAGCCATTCCGTGAGAAGTAGTCACCCCATAGCCATCCCGTGAGAGGTAGTCACCCCATAGCCATTCCGTGAGAGGTAGTCACCCCATAGCCATCCCGTGAGAGGTAGTCACCCCATAGCCATCCCGTGAGAGGTAGTCACTCCATAACCATTCCGTGAAAGGTAGTCACCCCATAGCCTTACTGTGCGAAGTAGTCACCCCATAGAGATTCCGTGAGACGTAGTCACCCCATAGCCATCCTGAGAGAGGTAGTCACCCAATAGCTATCCTATGGGAGGTAGTCACCCCATAGCCTTCATGTGAGAGGTAGTCACCCCATAGACATCCTGTGGTAGGTAGTCACCCTATAGCCTTCCTGTGGGAGATAGTCCCCCCATAGCCATCCTGTGGGAGTTTTTTAAGTTTAATATGTTTATTATGCACCCTATACCCATCCAGTGGGCGGTAGTCAAAAGATTACAGAGGTACATAATGGGTCCAGGGACTGGGCCTCAAAGTTTTGATAGCTGAGCAAGTTACAGAGGTAATGAATTCACAATTTACAAAGGTAATGAACTCACAATTTACAAAGGTAATGAACTCCAGGTAGGTCTAGTCACAATCATGACAAGTTACAAAGGTATTTACAGATTACAGAGGTACACAATGGGTCCAGGGACCGGGCTCCAAAGTTTTGATGGCTGAACTAGGTACAAGGTAATGAACTCACAAGTTACAAAGGTAATGAACTCACAAGTTACAAAGGTAATGAATACTGTAAGAATGGTTACTTACGTGTATACATGGCTGCAATCATGAACAAATTTTAGAGTAATGAGCAATTCACACTTCCACACCCGGTCACAACTGTAGTGAGTTATTGGTGCAAATATTGATTGCTGAGTCTCTCTCTCACACACACACACACACACACACACATACAAATTCATACACACACACACATAATCACACACACACACACACACACACACACACACACACACACACACACACACACACACACACACACACACACACACACACACACACACACACACACACACACACACACACACACACACACACACACACATACACAAACTCATGACGGAAGGGTTAGACTCAGAAGTGTCCCTGTTTGCAGATGATGTGAAGTTAATGAGGAGAATTAAATCTGATGAGGACCAGGCAGGACTTCAAAGAGACCTGGACAGACTGGACACCTGGTCCAGCAAATGGCTTCTCGAATTTAATCCTGCCAAATGCAAAGTCATGAAGATAGGGGAAGGGCACAGACAGAGTATAGGCTAGGTGGCCAAAGACTGCAAACCTCACTCAAGGAGAAAGATCTTGGGGTGAGTATAACACCGAGCATGTCTCCGGAAGCACACATCAATCAGATAACTGCTGCAGCATATGGGCGCCTGGCAAACCTGAGAACAGCATTCCGACACCTTAGTAAGGAATCATTCAAGACACTGTACACCGTGTATGTCAGGCCCATACTGGAGTATGCAGCACCTGTTTGGAACCCGCACTTGATAAAGCACGTCAAGAAACTAGAGAAAGTACAAAGGTTTGCAACAAGGTTAGTTCCAGAGCTAAGGGGAATGTCCTATGAAGAAAGATTAAGGGAAATCGGCCTGACGACACTGGAGGACAGGAGGGTCAGGGGAGACATGATAACGACATATAAAATACTGCGTGGAATAGACAAGGTGGACAAGGACAGGATGTTCCAGGGAGGGGACACAGAAACAAGAGGCCACAATTGGAAGTTGAAGACACAAATGAGTCAGAGAGATAGTAGGAAGTATTTCTTCAGTCATAGAGTTGTAAGGCAGTGGAATAGCCTAGAAAATGACGTAGTGGAGGCAGGAACCATACACAGTTTTAAGACGAGGTTTGATAAAGCTCATGGAGCGGGGAGAGAGAGGGCCTAGTAGCAACCGGTGAAGAGGCGGGGCCAGGAGCTAGGACTCGACCCCTGCAACCACAAATAGGTGAGTACAAATAGGTGAGTACACACTCATACTCACACACACACACACACACACACACACACACACACACACACACACACACACACACACACACACACACACACACACACACTCACACACTCATACACATACACACAAACACACACACACACACACACACACACACACACACACACACACACACACACACACACACACAAACAGACACACACACAAACAGACACACACGCGCGCGCGCGCACACGCACACACGCACACATGTGGTAATGCTTTATTTACAGCTAGCAAAGTCAGGGTATTTCTCCAGAATGGTCTGTAATATACCACTGTGGATAAAATACTTTGCCATTTCTTGAACATTTCTGAGTGAGTTGTTTCTAAATTGGGAGGTAGTCACCCCATAGCCATCCCGTGAGAGGTAGTCACCCCATAGCCATCCCGTGAGAGGTAGTCACCCCATAGCCATCCCGTGAGAGGTAGTCACCCCATAGCCATCCCGTGAGAGGTAGTCACCCCATAGCCATCCCGTGAGAGGTAGTCACCCCATAGCCATCCCGTGAGAGGTAGTCACCCCATAGCCATCCCGTGAGAGGTAGTCACCCCATAGCCA